TCTAGTAGCGTGGAGCTTTCCACGCCGGCTAAATATCTAGAGCGATGTTTCATCGACAACCTAGTATGACTAGCGTAATGAGAACCCTGTACTCAATGACTATTCGCGAGAAGACTAGTCATGAGTCGAACCAAACCCTATCTAGGGATCGAGTCGCGAATAAGGCTAAGAGAGTCCTGTGACATTATTGCCTGACTAAGGGTCACAGAAGGCACGACAATCAGTCGGACAAGAAGAACAATGAATTAAAGTGCGGGGCACTCTCGGAGATTGGATGTAGACATGTTGCGTCGCACGAGGGTGTAAAATACTCGTTAGTTTAACAAACTATGGCCACGGAGTGGCTTTTGTGACGCGGGCAATTGGGGGGAAGCCCCCACTAGCTGAGTCTCATCTACTTATTTGCCCAATCAACATGACTCATCCACTGGCCCAACGTGGAGCCAGCACCAAGTAGAAAGATGCCCTGGGTAGGGGGGGAGCACATTGATAGGGAACCTCCAGCGCAAAACCTGGGTTACAGGGCTTACACAGGATTTTTGTCGGTATTGAACCAATTATCCACATAGGGACCGTGAGGACCAGTAGATGGCCAGACCAAAGATGCTGGCCAGTAAGTGTGTTGGGTGATCAGTTCCCATACTAACCAGCTACTAGCTGAAGTTCCACGTGTTCCGGAAATGGACCGTGGAGTACGTAGAGTTATTGCAATAACCTACGATATCACACTTCGAGGCCTCCCGCGGGAGACCAACGTTCAATGAGCTTCACAACGATCTCTTCTCATGGATTAGTTTCTCGTAGCTTTCTAATCTCTTCTCATAAACTTTCACTTTCATTCTCTCAAACTCAAAACACTCGAAAGATCTTTACACTAGCTTTTAGCGTAGTGCACAACAATTGGAGCCTGCGAAGTCATAACCATACTTACTATTTTAGAGGCCATGAGGCAGCAAACTAAATGTAGCGGGCAAAGCAAGTAAGTTGCAGAAAATGGCCTTGGAAGTCGCTTGTGATGAATGAAACAAGAGTGGTCGATTTGCGAAGCCACCAGCAGTGGCTGGACCATGCCACTGAATTCATGTGCATATCGTTGTGGCAAACGCATTGGTGTGGCTGTAAAAGATGTGCCCTACATGTATCGGTACGAAGGAATGGTAGTGGTTCGTTGCAGTTGATAGTTTGACCTGTGACAAACCTGCTGACAATCCATCCCACCATCCCACGGGGCTCGGACCTTGCCCAGAACTCCAGTGTCCTGGCAGCAAAAGCATCTGGACAGTACCCACGCCAGTGGTGTCGCTGAAACAGGCCGAAACAGGCTGAACGCCGCTGAACCTTTCAAAAGCAAACGTAGAATAGTGGTACAGTACCACACAATATATATTTTCTAGATCCACTATCCCTTTTATCCCCTGCTCGAGTACACCTTACCGGTACTATACTACTATCGCTCCACAGTTAGTTGATAGTTCGACCTTTCGACTTTCGACCAAAGCCTGTGGCTACTACTAGTAGTAGGTAGTAGCTCCAGAGCTCCAGACAACGTAAGAATTACGTTTTCCGCGAAGGGGCTGCTGATTATGTTCTAGCTACTAGTAGCTGCTGCCCACAGCCCACCAACACCTTACAACTTGCAAGAACCTGGCTTGAAGCCTCTCACTGTGCGTGGAGACTGCCAGCCAGCTTGCTGCTAGCTAGATAGTAGTAGATAGTGGACCATTTTAAAAATGGGCTGTCTGGCTCCAGCTGCCTGTTTGTTTCAGCCGTTGCTAAAAGCCACTGACCATCCATCCGCAACACCAACCAATGACTACGGACTGCGGGCAATAGCACGAAGCTGTGACTTCAGAAACTCGGCTCACCACCTCAAGTGCCACGCAATGTGTGAGTGTGTGAGTGACATTATTTAGCAAAGAACTTGCCAGTGGCGACGTACCGGTACTCGAACAATCGAACTAATCAAACCAAATCGAGTTTATGGTTACATGCAGTATGTCTGATTAGTACCGGTACAGAATGTGGACAGTGGACAGTGCCCCAATGACCACCTCAGAACGGAGAACATGGGTAGATTGCTTACCACGAGGGGTGCTGGTATCGTACTGTACCGCCGGTTTGGATCCAGTCTCTGTTCTGTGCAGGCTCGCAATCCAAAGATTTGAGGTCAACAGGTGACATTGGTGTGATCAGAAGATCAGAACTACTGGAGTATCTCTTCGAAAATCTCAGCCCAGTGTCAGTGCGTCTCATAATTTCAGCCAATCTACTTTTGAAGAGTGCGAAGCAAAATGAAGCGCCCCAGCATGAAGACTGTAAATGAAGCCATTGAGATCAACCACCCTGATTTCTATGATTGGGCCAAGGAGTCTCGTTTGAAGGTCCGGTCATTGCCATGCATGTTGGTAGCGGGAGACAGACCACCAACAAAGCCCAGAAGGAGCGACGAGATGGTCTATGATTGGAAGAAGCACCGACATTCTTTGAGAAGATCAACAACAGGAAAGAGTAGACACAATTCGAGCTTTGACCCAAAGAAACCGTCAACATCTGCGCCTCATCTACGGCGCATGACGACCTTTCCAACCATTTCGACTCAGTCGGGGGCAAGCCGATGGAGTAGCATCGTGGTTTCAACGCCTTCCAACGATGCAAAGAACCCAGACAAGAAGAAGCGCCTCCTTGAACTCAAAGGGAAATGGGATTCGATGACTAGCAGTCCATTGCTGGTCGTCAGTCCTTCAAGTCAGACTACCCAAATGCCAACTGCGGGATAGATGGTGAAATAGCAGATGAGTGGTTGCCCATCATTCGTACTAGCATGAAGAGCGAAACGAAGAAGAAATAGAGCAGGCGAAGCAAAGAACCATATATACAGTACACGTAATAAAGAACAATAAGAAAAGTGCTTGAAACCTTGAATTATCACTACTAGTCATGCACACATCCTTCAGCGCACCCAGAAACGGTCGTTACTTGAACAAAGAGCTCTTGATTGTATTTTGCGCCCATAAAGGCGGCTCTGTCCTTTCCTGAATGCCAGCAGCAAGAGTGTCTCTGAGCCAGAAGTTCAGCAAACTAACTTACTACAGCTTTTACTACATGTACATACATGTACCGAAGTAGAGCAGCCATGTTGCTCTTTGGCTGCTTTGCTGGCTGGCAGTAGCATTCATCAAAGCCTTTTCGCCCATGAAAGGGGTGAAACGCAGCCGTGTTGCCTCGCCAGCCATGGTGGATACCTATCCCTCTCTACGGTACGTATTGCGAGGTTAGAACCCTTGAAGAGGTGAGTACAAGCAATGCACTAGAGCTACAGTGAGTATCTGGAAGGCATGACTGGAAGGAGACCTTCGCACATCAGGTGACTTTAATCCTCCTCTTCTGCTGTGGGAGAGCGACGCACCTCTACAATACCACTGGCTCGATTGACTCCCTTGTTGAAGCAAGTGAGATGCACATGTGTGAAGCAATGAGGTGGGTTGCGGAACAAGGCTCGGATCTTTAGCTCGGTTGAATGGTTGAATGAATAGGACATGTAGCTTGCTTTTGCTTCTTGGCGCCTTGGCTGTGCCCCGCGATCACACCAAGCAATAAATGGCTTGTAGCTAGTCAAAGCCTTAGCGCTACTAGATAGCAGCCGCTTAGTACTGAGTAGCTGTGTAGCTGTGTATCAGTAGCTGTGTATCAGTACTAGCTGGCTGTATCAGGAGGATCAGTGTGAAGAGTTCCCGTAACTCTAGGAATGATTCGATTCAATCATCTGACCCTGCAGGCCCGACGAACGACGAAGATAAGGAAGGTGCAAAGCAGCACCAAAGTAAGTGTGAAGGTTGATGGGATGGCAGATACATGTAGCTTCGATAGAGCTTGTTGTTTCAGGCAGGGGAGGGGTGATTAGGAGAGTTTTCCCTAAAGCCCAGTTTGAACTAGTGTAGCGACTTCCGGAACTCAAGCTAGCTAGTAGGAATCTCTGACCCTGGCCCGACGAACGACGAAGATAACTTACAAAATACATGTACCGATAGTCTACCGGTGACTGGTAGACTACGTGCAAAGTGCAAAGGGTTGATGGCCGAGATCCGAGTTTTTGGTTTCAGAGCGTTTGCGGGAGTGATGAGGGGTGAATACACGTAATAGAGTGAGTTTCATCCTAAAGCCCACTTGAAGTAGTACCAACTCTAATGGCTTATCATCATCATGACTATGACCGCTTCAGGTGAACAACATCACGAAAGTGCCGTTCCCTTAATTCTAGGTTTTGTACAAAGAATGAGTGAAGAAGCTTAAAAGCGAGAACAGGACAACGCAGGAGTGAACTTCCAACCAGGCGGAAGAGGTGTATGACTAAACGTTAACCAACGCTCACAAAGGGAAGAAGAGAAAAAAAAAGCGCGAGGGGTATCGGCATCGTAAGATCGACTGCGTGGTACCGGACGGTAATCTTGAACAGTCGCCCACATTCATGTTGTTCTGGCTGCAAGCATACTAGTGACGATCAGATCTCAGAATAGAGAGAACGGATAGACTAGTTTTGTTGTGAGGTTGGTTGGAAAGTATAATAAGAGAGCATGCAATGAAAACAGACAGCCCACACTGAAAGTAACGGTCAATTGAATTGAGTTGAGTGACTGAGTCCATCCAGCGCCAACGGGTCATCCCAAAAGCAACAACTATTCGACACAACCTCCACTCCATCCACTTCGCTCCAGTCTCTCTATATATAGTCCACCATTATGGCGGCCGTGAGCGAGGATACGACGTCGCCGTTGTTTACGGGAGACCTCGATGAAGCCGCGTTGGCCGAAGAGGCAGCCCAAATGGCAGCCGCGATTGCTGACTTGGAAGACGCTCTGGAGACCAATGAATTGGACCGAAAGGAAGAAGAAACATTCTTTGAAGTGGCTGCCAAAATCACCATTGATGCCGATGGCGACGACGACGAATCTGGGGAGGCTGGTACGACGAGTGACACCAGCGCCATTGGCGCCATTGCCATGAAAGTCTTTAGTGCTCCCAACACCAATGTGTTTGACGACGAAGAGGAAGAGTTTCGACAACAAGTTGCGGACGATTTGAAGCAGCGAAAGGAAGAGGAAGAAAAGGAAGAATTGGAACGTCAACAGGCTCTGGAGAATGATGTCTCAGATGAGGAGGACGAAGAAGAAGAATTGGGGGTTGAGGAAGGAGCCCTATCGGATGACGACGAAGACGATGTGGATGACATTGATCTGGAGGATGAGGGAGAAGAAGAAGATGAGGAAAGCAGTCATGGCGACCCTGAATTAGAAGTGGCAGTGGCAGAAGAAGATGAAGACATACAGGATGACATGAGCATTGATGATTCCATCACATCGGATGACCCCAGTATGGATTCCTCCGCTTCATCCGAGTCGTCGGATTCCTCTTCTTCCGAATCATCCAGTAGTGAAGACAGCTCTTCTTCGTCTTCGTCTTCTCATTCATCCGAACCAGCAGAAGAACCAACAAAAGACAACAACCGAAAGAGCCAACGAGGTTCCAACCCACACAATTCTGCACATTCACTGTGCCTATCCGAAATAATTGACAAGGATGATGATGGTAGGAAAGGAACTGACAATAATGACAGTGACGAAGTACTGTTACGCAACGGAATTCTGAGGGTCGATGAAACTTCCAATGATCAAGCCTTTATTTGTGATTGGGATCGATGGCGCAATTGGAAAAAGCGAAAACTAAGCAACAACAATTCACAAAACAACAGCAATAACAATAGTATGGAGGAATCCTCCCAGCGATGGGGGCACGACGAGACGTTGAAACGCCAGGATTCACATTTACGAATGCCCAAACGACGGACCAGTGGAAGCAGTCATGACGGCAGCATCGTCAGTCAAGAAGTCATGGAAAGCATCGTTCAAGACAACAATGCAAAGAAAGCCAACGACAATGACAAAAACAGCAAAGTCAACACCACCAACAACAACAGGGAAGGATTTTTTGATTGGACTGCATGGAGACAAAGAAAAGATGGACGACAACTCTCCTCCACGTCAAGGACTGCGTCCTCCTCCTCCGATGAGGATGGCGATGCAGATGTTGGTGGGGCCAATTTCGACGAGGGCTCTGTACTGGCCAAGCTCGATGAGTGGGAGGAAATGGAGGAATCCATGAGAAGCTTGACATCCATCGGTGACGACTACGACGAGGAAGGGGAATTTGCGTTTGAAAACGAGGATCTACAAACGGCCTCGGATCATTCTCGGTCCTCCACCAATAAAAGGAGTAGTCAGCGAAAGTCGTCTACTAGTAGTTTATCACCGCGACGGTCCCATTCCAAATCGCCAGTGAACAACAAGGACAAGAGTAATAATACTGCGTCTTGGAAAAAGTGGCAACGCGACAAGCGTCGAAGTGGGTTTACGAATCGGTTGACTAAATCACATTCGGAAAAGTGGAACGACGACAGTGATGATCAGTCGACGAGCAGCAACAGCAACAACAAGCGAAGAGAGAGTATCAAACGAACACAATCGGAGCGAGGACTTAACAGCAAGAAAAAGCCACCACCGATTCCGTCCCAAAATAAAAAGGGATTCCGACGTGCGCAATCATGGGACAACAGCGACCTATTCGCCAAGACGGACATTTTTGACTGGAAGAGTTGGCGCAAAGACAGGCAACGGACGATGAAGAAAAGCAACTCGGACCCGCGTCTGTCCTCCAAGTCACATCGGCGAAACTCGGAGCGAAACTTGTCCAAGTCGGTTCACAACTAGCTACGGTAGCTAGCAGTTCAGTACAGTTCAGTACAGTATGTATATCCAGGCAACGTTGCTACAGGATCCTAACTTACTTCCACTTACTTGCTGGGATTTGGAGTTTCGTTTATCTAGCTAGCCTATCGTAGCTAGTAGGGATATCTTAGCTAGGGACGCGCTTTCAGTAGGAGGAACGAGAAACAAATCAATCGCCTCTTCGTACACGTAGTTTCTTAGCTTGTACTACTAGCTACCGTAGTACCTTGGGCGTTCAAGGCAGGGTGCTTGTCAAAACCAACAGTTTGCCTGACTCGAGGACACTTAAGCTCCCGAATCCTTCATCTCATTGGCTTGACGAGGCAGCAATTCTTGCAGTATCGATTGACGATGGACGTCAGTTATGATGCCATCACGATTGATATGGATCATGCGTCGATTCGATCTGTTCCAACTCTTTATTTTTTTCGTCGTAGGAACCCAAATAGAGTACGTTTTTCTCCTTCTCCTCCAGCGCCTCCGCCAGAGTCGCCCTTTTTCTTGTTGTCGGCTGTCTTCTTTGATACCTTGACCTTGACGGTTTGCTTTGGCTTTTTGTGTGCCAGATCCTTTGATTTTGTCTTTGTCTTTGCTGTGGCACCCTCCTTGTCTTTTTTCTTCAAGTCCTTTGGCTTTTTCTTTCGTTCCTTGCCATCTTCATCGTGCTTTTTCTTGCCCTTGTCACCACTCTTTGACTTGGACTTTTTCTTTTTCTTTTCGCCATCGTCCTTGGACTTTTTTGTTTTGGATTTCTTTTTCTTCTCTCCATCGTCCTTTGATTTGGATTTCGTCTTCTTTTTCTTCTTCTTTTCACCATCATCACTGTCATCCTTGGACTTTGATTTTTTCTTTTTCTTCTTGTCTCCATCCTTGTCTTTGTCTCGTTTCTTCTTTTTCTTTTTCTTCTTGTCCTTGTCAGAAGAAGAAGACTTTTCGCTCTTGTCTTTCTTTTTCTTTTTGTCTTTTTTTTCTTTTGGTGGTTTGTCGTCTTTTGATTTGTCGTCTTTTGATTTGTCCTTCCCTTTGTCCTTCTCTTTGTCCTTTTCTTTGTGCTTTTTGTCGTCTTTGGATTTGTCTTTTGGCTTGTCCTTCTCCTTGACGACATCTTTGTGTTTGACCTCTTTGGATTTGGACTTGGATAGCTTGGGAGGGGATGGTGGAGGCTCGACTTCCTTTTCCTTGCTCTTGCCCTTTTTCTTGGGCGATAGTGGAGGAGGCGATGGTTGTGCAGGTGGCGGAGGCTCGGCGGATTCTTCACTACTCGAGAAACTGCCGCTGCTGTCGGAATCGCCTTCGGACGATTCGTCGGAATAGCTCCCTTCGTCGTCGTCATAGTCAGATTCCACAGAAGAAGACGACCCTTCTTCGTCGTCGGACGAATAGGAACCTTCGTCATCCTCTTCCGACGATTCCGAGTAGTCATCGTCCGAATCAATCGATGCCTCATCGCTGTAATCCTCTTCATCGCTGTACTCCTCCTCGTCGCTGTATTCCTCCTCATCGCTATAGTATTCTTCTTCGTCCTCCGTCACGGCTACTTGTTGCACTCTGGCCTGCAATTCAATCTCCTTTTCCATCTGTCGTTGCTGTTCGATTTCCTTGCGAATTTCCTTCTTTTCCGCTTCGTGGTAGTACTTTTCCAATACTTTTTCCGTCTCTTTCAGTTCCGTCTGATCGGCATCGGGCGCCAAATGCGGACTCAACACGCCCGTGGTGGCTTGGAAACTGTCATTGAACTTTTCCAATTCGCCTCCCAGATCTTCCAAATCATGGTCCATATCCGCCGTCAATTTCGCGAGTTTCGCTTGTTGCGCCGCAAAGGCGAGACCCATGTTGGTCACGCCGCGGCCCGGTGCTGCCATTGTGCGTTGGAATCTATCTTATAGTATTGGAGGAGGAATGGCTGAAGCGAACCAAGCCTGCAACACAACAAGTAAGTTGAATGCCTTGCTTGAGGGAGCTCGGCTAAAGTGGAGCGGTTGTATGCTTGCTTGGTTTCTGAGCAAACTTGAATCCATGAGACTACTCTTGGGTTTACCACCGGAAAAGATCAACCACCGGAAACTAACAAATAACTATGAACTTTAACCCTAAATTATTCCGGTAGTTGATCCATATTCCTACCGGCTTCTACAGCAGCTCTACGCTTTCCGGTGGTTGCACCAAGAGTAGAGGGGGCTGACGAACTGATCGATGAAAGGAAAAGAGCTCTGGAGCGCAAGGCGTTTATCACGCAAGAGTTCCAGAGTTCAACTGTTCTGTGAGAAATGTCCAAGAGTGGAAGGCCAAGAATTAAAGGGAGGCATCAAGAGACATAGTGACCATTCTGAAAACAGAAGCTCAAATCTTCGTTGAAGTTTACAGCCCTCGCAACGGATGTACTAGTACCGGTACTCCGGTACTAGCTTTAAAGCTATTACAGTAGTCTAGTACATGTATGCGCTGCCATTTATCAATCAACAATCATTTTCGCGAAAGCTGCAGCTGCAAAAGCAAGCAAACCAATGGACTCCACTCCCCTTGATGGTATAGCGAGAGGCCACTACAGGTATGTATGAAAGCCAAGACTTTCTGCATGGGCTGCAAGGAGGAAGAACCAGAAGGCAAGCGATTTCGTAATGTTTGCCAGCTCTGTCATGATGCTGGGCTGGTTCCAGCAGTGTTCTGCTCCCGGTCATGCTGCAAGAAGGTATGGCCACAGCACAAAAGATGGCATCAACACGATGCAAGGAAAAGCATACGTGAGGTGGTGGACGTGGTTAGATCTTCTTGTACTTGCTTCCTATTGGAAGGCGCGGTTGGATCTTGCCCTTGCAAGCAATGGGAAGACTCCGCCAAGGAATCTCAATATGATGGCTACATTCTGGAAAGTAGAAAAAGAATTGCATCCGGTGACTTTGCGGGTGCCAAGAAAGTACTCCGCAAAGCAATGAAATGCGATGCAAGCCAACCAAAAGCCTATTACCTCCTTGGTGGCCTTTTTCTGGTATCAGCTATGACAAGGCAAGCTCTTTCATACATCAAGGAGGCGTGCAAGCGGTATGCCTTGGTGATATTGGAAAGCATGAATGGAAAAAGAGAGGGCGGAAGTATTGATGAAGCTCATTGCAGATGGGCTATGTGCGTTTGTCGTCTGGCTGAGATGTGTAGTAAAGAAGATGATCTGGAGACCCCGACATGGTGGTGTCATGATGGCACACTCAAGAGAGTCATCAAGGTGGCGCGTCTAGCACGGACTACAAAAGACGAGGAAAATGCAAAATTAACTTTCATATGGGCAGGCGCTCTGTCTGGCTTCATCAGTCATGGGCTGCGTCCACATTATCCAAGAATTGAGGACCGTACGCCTGAAGAGCTCAGGGAGGCGACTGCACTATTTGAGAAAATCTCCAAAACTGGTGGTCCAGTGGCACATGACTCTCACAAACTCTCTGAATTCTTGAAGGAAGTTGCAGAATGCCGCCAGATGCGCATCATAGCACAGACCCCAAGTTTCACCGAGATTGAGGAAGTTCCTATCCTAAATGCTTGGGATTCTGGAATGTTGAGAGGCGTCTTTGAAGCCGGTGAATGGGTTCAAATTCATGGCCTTGTAAGTCCTAAAGGTTCTGCAATGAACCTAAAGCTAGGCCTGGTCTGCAAAGATGGGTTGCGAGATGGCCGTCAAGTTGTACAAGTTGAGGGGTTTAAGGAATGCAAGTTGATTCGCCCACAAAACTTGATGGCATTGCCATTTTCTGAGCTTCTTTTGGCTCTTGTTTCATGCTTGGAAGAAGAAGATGTGCAATGGATGTGCGCCAGAAAAGCTAAAGAGATGCTGCCAAGGGCATACATCTGGTCGTAGATAACCTAAGAAGCCAGCACAACGAAAGCACGCCAATCTTAGCATCTGCACCTCTAGGGCACCAATGTCGGCGTCAGGAGGTTGGCGTCAGAATTCTGCACCTCTAGGGGGCGCACCTCGGTGGCAAAATGTTGATCTGAGCTGTTTGGTTGATACCGTTAGGAATGAATGATTGCATCAATGGAATCATTTGTATTGAGTAGAATCGATTTTGCTTCAAAAAGCCAGAAGATGGATGCACTTCAGAGTCCCTCCCTCCTTTGATGTGCCATCGCTCTTGTGAGGGATGAAGAACAGATGCAGCACCAAAAAGAAGGGAAGGGTGACGCAAATGAGACTAGCTAGAAGGCAGCTCCTTCTACATGGCCTGCTTCTCCACCCACCGATTCTTTCGGTTGTGAGCAAATGGGTGCTGTTCTTGAGCCAGTTTTGATGGCAAGGAATGCTGCAAATGGAAGAGCAAGAACGTAAGCGATTCCCCCAGGTACCGGTATGCCCACTACGTCATGATGTAGATTGCGAGAAAAAACTAGCCTATGGTACACAAGTCGCTAGCTAGGAGTGTTTTTGAAAAAACCTAAATGAATCAAAAAGGCAGGTCGTCTGCCTCATTATTATTCTAGTCGCAAGTTCGTGGCACTGGCCGACAAGATCTGCATCAGTGCCGTGTCTTTTGGCTTTTTCTTTTTCTTGGGCTTGGTGGTCTTTGTTGCCTTTGTTTCTGCTTTGTTTGCTTTTCCCTTATTGCTGGTGGTGGTGGTAACAGCCAAAGTCACCCGCCTCTTGAGCTTTTTCTTGGGCGCTCGCCTAGAAGTCGATGCCTCTTCTTGGTCTTGTCGCCATTGCTCCCAGTCAAATAATGCTTCCTCATCAGGAGCGTTCTCGGTTGTTTGATGATCCCGCCATTGTGTCCAATCGAAAAAGGAGGGTATGTCCTCTTCGTTGGCAGCTAGTTGCTTTTTCTTTTTCTTGTTGGTTCTGGCCAGGTCGCCAGTGGTCCAGGCAGACGACACGGAATTGGACGAGCAGTCCATACCACCATCCAGAGAAAAGGCGTCATCTAGAGTATTCTTTTTCTTCTTTTTCTTGGTTCCGCCTTCACTGAGTGCTGCTGGAATTTCAAAGGCTATAGCCTCCTCTTGTGGTTGTTGTTTCTTCTTTTTCTTCTTTTTGCTCTTGACAATAAAGGGAGGATCCTCTTCGTCTCTTCCACTGTCACTCACCACAGAAAAGACATCGTCATCGTCGTCCTCTTGCTGCTGCTGTTTGTTCTTCTTCTTCTTGTCCTTCTTCTTGCTCTTTTTCTTCTTGTCACTGACCACGCTGTCATCCTCGTCATCATAGTCGTAGTCGCCATCCGCTCCATCGACAGAGCCAAGTCCACTAGTAATGTTGTGTCGTATTAACCTGGATTGCTGTCTCTTGTGTAGTTGCGTTTGTTTCCGCCATTGCGCAAAGTTGTTGCTCAAGGCCGCCACACTGTCCAGCATCCCCGTCAAATCGTCTTCTAACGCGTCGACCGTCGACGTCAATTGGGCCACGGCAGGGGACGGACGGAATGTCGTGTCACCTTTCAGCATCAAGGCATTCATCTTGGCTTCTTGTCGTTCCAAGTTGAGACTCAGGTTGAGATCCAATCGTCTCTCCACCGACGCAAAGCCCCAGCTCCGATTGGACGATCCATTATTATTGGTACTACTACCGCCAGTGCTGGTGGCATTGTCGGCATCTTTGTTGACGTTGAACACGTCGTCCAGAGACAGCTCGGGTTCGTCGACTTGGGGTGCTCCCATGGTTGCTTCAGTAATTGTTGTTTACTTTCACTCTTTCGTTTGTGTGATCGAGTTCAAGCAGACGAGAGGATGTGCTGCAGACTGAAGCTTTTGAGGTCTGTTGCCGGTATTACCGTATCAAGTGTTGCCATGTCGCTTGTCGTGGACAAACGATGAGGATGAGTTGGTTGCACCGGTTTGCAGCTAGATTTCGACCTGCATGCAATGTCTGTGAGTCGATGTTGAAGGTCATTGAAAGAAAAATGTGTCTCAGTGGTGAAAAATGGATTTAACATTTCGTCTCCTTCTACTTTTAAAATAGCGTTCATGGCCAGGTCTCGTGCTTGGTCGCGGATGACTTCCCGGGGATCTGGTTGGTTGGTGGGTTGGGAATGTGGGATTGGGGATGTGGGAGTCGAGTCGAGTGATAGTCGAGTCGACTCAGTCGACTCAAGTCAAGGGAAGTTTGGAAGAAAAACGTTGGGGAGACGCACCTCAGAGGCCGTCTGAGGGATCCACCTACCGTACCTTATGCGAGATCGCCTCGATTACTTACTAGCTAGTACTCATTACTCAGTAATAGACTGTATAATAATTGCTCTTTCTCGCTGTTCCTCTTTCTCGATGTTCCTTCAACAGCTCCACTTTGAAGCAAATCTTCCAGGCTGTAATGGCATGGACGTTGGGAGTCCCGATGTAATACGAACATCACTGGAGGGGGTATGCTTGCTGTTGGATCCTCGAAATAGAACAACAACTAGATACCGGTGCAGCACGTACGTTGCCTTCGCCTACCGGCGCCATGCGCCAATCCAAAGATTGAGATCGTAGTCTTAGGGTCCTTAAAACACACCGTCAAAAGAAGACCGCCCCCTCTCTCCAATGATGCATACCTTCATATTCAGTAAAACCATCACACGAACGCTCCCTTTTCAACTGTTTCTGAATCTCATTATAAAACAACGCAGCATCTCCACGAGAATTAATTCGTACAACAAAACGTGTATTTCCTATATTAGATCTCCCTCAGCCTGAATTATGATGCTACTAGCTAGGTACTGTAGGCATCCATAGGCTTACTCTCTAACCACTCCTTAAAAGCCTATGTCCACGAATCATATCCTCCATCAGCTTGAATGCGAAATTCCTATCGGAGAGAAGTGGATGCGTTCCAACATGCACGGCAATGGCTCTTCCATAGTTGACACTCTGGAGAGTGTCAGGTTGATTCTTATCCAACAAGAAAACGATCGCCCCGGAGCAGCCAGAGAATGAGTTGAGATCGTACTCATGCTTCCCAACAAAAGTAATTTTTCCTGTGTAGATGTTTGCTTCGAAAGCATTTCCATAAATCTTGGAAAGCTCCACCGGGGTCAATTTGAGTGGATTGTCAGGGTCGGGGCTGGCACTCTTGGCGGTGGGTAACACCGTGGTAAAAACAGCAATCCCGACGCGTTGATCTTTCCCGAAATCATATCCTTCCTCGTAAACCTGGAAGGAGGATCCACGGTTTGTTATACCATCAGAACGGTTAGAAACCGGGTTGCCAGCAGAAACATCTACTCCAAAACCCCACACTGCGTCAGTTAAGGCGCATTGCCGGAGGACCATCGCGTCGTTCTTTACTGAAACGTTCAAATCGTCAAACAATAACAGCTTCTCGCTAAGATCTCCTTTTAGATAAACTGTAGATTCTATTGCATCAGCCGGGTAGAAGTGGTGGTCCACGTTTTCAATTCTGCGGAGGTTGTGCTTTGCTGTGAAAGGAGTGACCGCATAGTGAGGACGCGAACCAGGGGAGACGGATATTGGTTTCGTACGGATGAACCCCACTTGACCAAGCCCTTCCTTCTTGATTGGCAAGTCATCGCCGTCCTTAATCTGGAGATACGATACTTTCAAGGCGAATGCACGGCTGCAAGCATCATGGCACAGCCGTGTTGAGATATGCTCTGGGTTGTCCGTGTGGCCAAGACCGTGCTTGATTGTCCTGCGAGAATCATCCACGAGAGACTCTGGAATTCCAAGCCATTCGGTATTTCGTCGGCTATCAAAATGTAATTCAGCTGGTTCGTCGGCCATGGTGGAAAGTAAAGCAATTTTGTTTGTTGTTTGTTTGTTTGTTTTGGATGTGGGTTTTTGTTTGTTCGTTTGGTACTGTACCAGTGCCGGTGGTCCAGTACCGGTACCGGTAGCCCAAACCAATGCTGAAACATTGAAACCATTGAATGTATCAAATCATTCGTTCGATTCGGTTGATCACAAGTACCTACGAAATACCGGTAGGTATCTTCGTGACTTCAAAATTTTTGAGAAAAGCAAGTCGGGGCCTTTTGGTTCAGCGTGAAAGTGTTCGACTCGTCGTTCTGGCGACATTAGTACCGTACTACTGGTGTCTCATGCCCAGCTACGGCCGGTACCTGGTAGCGGCTCGATACGCTTGTCATTCGACAGCTAGCTCTGTGGGCCGTGCCAAGAAGAAGTTCCACTACTAAAACTTAGAATCATCTATGGGACATACTATCATCGTTTAGTGACTTGCTGTGTTTAGGGCGTGGTTTTCTTTGGCCGCCAAGGTGCCAGCAGCGTCTTCCCCGTTGTTCCTTTTCGATGCAGCTGGCTTTCGGTCGTCATTATCAGAGTCGTCCCCGCTGCTTTCTTCCACGCTCAACATTGCCATTATCGATTCCAGGCTGTCATCCGCGTTCGTGAAATCGTAAGGCGCAATCGTGACACTGAGTTTCTCGGACCACTTCAAAGTTTTCGTCTTCTCTTCCCGAGATAGCAAACCGCACGCGGACTCGACGATTGTTTCCAGCTTGCCCATGGCGTCGCCAAGGCTGTCCATATTGTCATAGCCAGGATAGTTGATGTTCTGAAAGCCATGGGTGAGCGACACGAACAGGGCCTTGGCCAACTCGAGCGCCTTTTTGGGATTCTTCTGAGAGTAACCCTTGTCGGTGATCTCAACGTTGATGGCTTGGGAAAGTAGTTTGTACACGTCTCCTGCGTGAGCTCTGGAACCACTGTAGGATTTATACTTTTCGTCTGTATACCCAGAGTTGATCTTCCTTTGAATGCGATTGTACAACACGTGAGGCTGACTGATCCTGGGCTTCTTCGCCTCCAGTGGCTGTCCGCTCAGATGTGCTAGAGGTTTCCGCTTCTTCTTGGCCTTTGCGGCAGCAGCAGCCGTCAGTGCCTCGTTGCTTTCGTGCTGTAAGATTCGACATACAAGCTCGTATCGGCTTCCTGTCTTGGCAATACCTCGTCCCTCGCAAATCTCCTTGAGATCGGTGTTCGTCAAACCAGCCGGGTTGGCCCTGGAACTCACCCAGATGAACAACGCACCCAGGTGATGACTCGACAAGCGTTCAATCAACACATCCTTGTTACCCGAGAAGGATAACCCAGCTGCTTTGCACAAATACTTGAGCTTTTCCACTGTCAAACCGCTATACCACGTATGGACTTGTTTGTCGTAGCGTCTCTTGGCGGAAATGAACATGGACATTGCCGAAGAGATGCTCCTGTTCAATGGGCATCGACTTCACGCAATGACAACCTTTCATCGGAGTTTTGACTTCATGTTGCTGTTGCTATGCTTTTCTGGCAGTTGTGTTTAGTTCTCCCGAAAACTTTGATTCAAATTATCTCAATGAATTTGGGGGTGGAAAGACGCAGACCGAGGCGCAAACTTGAACGGACCTCAGATGTTTTATTAGCCACAAGGCTGTCGGAATGAGTTACAAGGACACATTTTGCTCAGGTGGCTTCAGGGAAGCTCCGAACTCTCGAAGGTACGGTATATAGAGTTTATTAAAGATGGTGTACAGTGCACCAATTACAAAATTGGATACGCAACATGTTGCGATTGTAGCTAAGTTCCCTTCATCCATTATGCTGCATGCACAGTGTACGGACATTCCGGAAATCTCGAAACAGCACAGGTCGACTTGACTTCTCCCAGTGCCATTTCTTCCATTCGATGCCACGATCGATGCTGGCTCATGGCAATAAACCGACCCTTGGTGGCAATATCAATTCGTTCGGCCTCATTGGCGGGATCCAAATAGTATTTCAGTTGTGCCTTGAGCGATTCTAAACTGTCAAACACCACAATGGATTCTGCATGCTTGAGACCAGTGGGCATGCCCAAAATTGTATCTGTCATGATCATAGCGCCACTGATCATGGCTTCAAACAGCCGCCAGTGGTCCTCCCAGGTATCCCTCTGTGCAACAACGACAATCTTTGTCCTTAACAGCTCCTTGATGTACGCCTTTTGGGGAGTTTTTCGTCCCCTTTCGCGTGACGCGCCCACTAGCCCCACCTTGATATCGTACCTTCTCTTAATGCCACCCTGTGGTTTTTCGTTTTTGATAAACTCCAGAAGGGTCTGACTGACCGTCAATCGTAGCTTGGCCAAGTGGGGTGCTTCATCTCGGTATGCTTTCAGGTCGGGAGGATAGAAATGAGCCACATCCCGTGGGCGTAGGAGCGATTCAATGGGTGATGACAGCTTCATATTGTCGTGATCTCTGGCCAAGATTCGTGCTAATGCTTCCACCATGTCGGTTCGAACATTGATGGGGCTGTGATAAAAGGGCATGGAGGGGATGGTGGGACCTGGTTGGTCCTTACCAGGATACGACGGTAGATTGACAATGCTTCCATAGAGTTTACCAGGATCGAGCTTTTTGGTGTCCGCATCAAAGCTACGGTCTGTGACAACCCCTCGTTTGAAATACGGCACGGTTTTGGAGATATTCTTGAGAAAGTCTTGCATCTTATCCGGGCAGGAATAGATTTCCCATCCGTGATCTCTCGTGTCGGAGAGGCTCACACGCCAGGTGGGACTACGACTTTTGGGGAGCGTTTGCCACACTTGTTGCTGCACGCCCCTCATCAATTTCCAGAGGAAAAGACAGGCTTTGCGGGGCTGCAATCGAGAGGTATCAAAAATCCATGATACAGGCTCGTTGTCTTGAATGAGTTTGACTGTTTCGCTGTAGTTGGCAATGCGTAGAAAGGGAGATTCTTCCAAACCATCTTGGAAATAATTCTTGTCGTGAGACTCTATGAGATTTTCCTTAATATCGAAATTGTCGTAGCTGGAATAGGGCATGAACACCACTGGAGTTGGCACTATTTCTTTCCAGGCGTTCGTTTCAACTCGCTTTGTCGGTACCGGTATTGTCGTCGCTTCGGACTCTTCTTCTTCATCCTTATCATCCTCAGATGCTTCTTCCACTGGCACAGCCTTCTCGGTTTGGGTAGCTTTGGCAGAAGTTTTCTTGGCATCCGTTGCTTTTCCTACTGGTGCTTTCAATGTCGCTTCTTTCCTTTCTTGGGCTTCCTTTTGAAGCTGTTGAACAGTCAATTGCGCATGTTTCCTTCGCAATGACTCCAGTCCTCGTTGCAGATCTGTCGTACCGGTAGAAGCATCATCATCTTCTATGTCAGATTCCGACATGACCCTGGAGATACTCCAATCCGCAGTCTTTTCTTGTACGTCTTCCAGCCGATGGATGCTCTCTCGCACCATACTGAACGGGCCTCGAAAGGTTCGAATATTCGAAAACTGCAATATCACACAGAGGCCACCAAGAAACCATATTCCCTTTATCCGAAAGCTACTAGTAGATGCATTATTGTTGTCGGTAGTATTGGTGGGTGAGGTCGAAGGGGAAGAGGGACCTACCATGGCGGAATTCAGGGCGAAAATTGTGATGAACTGGTACCGGTACCAGTCGCTGTTGGTGGTGCAAAAGTTGAGTGAGTGACTCGTCACTCAATCAACTTTTAAAAAATTCGCATCAACAATGACTCAGTCATTGTTCAGGTCATGAGGGGTCATTTGCCTCCGACAATGAAGCCAGCAACAGCTGTTGAAACACTTCGGCAGCTGTTGCCGGTGTATATGCCAGAACCCGGCGGCCCTGCCTTTTTGCATCAACGGCGGATGGGAGACAAGATTCTCAGAGCTATTCTCAGACATGTTGTCTCCTTATTGCGCACTGGCCTGTTTATGATAACCAACCGAGAATGGCCCTGATGCTATTGGCCGGTACCGGTACATGTATGGCTAAGAGGCGTGTGAAACCTAAAACTTTCTATTAGCTAGTTTATAGATAACTCTTTTCGAGGGATTCATCATTCGTGCTGCAGTCAGTCAGCAGCTGCTTCTCCGAGAAGTCAAATGCCGCTCGCTCTTGACGCGACGCTGTCGGATCAACAGAGCAGCAGTGGGGTCTGAATTACGCTTGGACTTGCTGCGTCGGGCAGTGGTGTATCGTCGACGCACTGTCGACCCATCGGGGCTCCCACCAATACGTCTGGATTGGGTCTTGGCCCATTCCTTCCAATCAAAGACATCCAAATCGTCCTTTTCGGGTGCAACGACCGTACATGTTACACGGCTCGCAGTCTTTTCTTCTTCTTTGATAGAGTCCACTACTTGTGGCTGGAAGCAGCGAGGGCTGCTACTTGGATTCGTTTCGGAGGCACTCTTGCTGCGAGGTGCTGCTACTGCGCGGGGGGTTTGCTGAACTTTTCCCCGCTTGGTGGCAGCAAAGGTGACCCAATTGAAGCAGGGTTCTCCTCCGTTATTAGTATTGTCCATGCGGGTGGGAGCGGTTCGGTTTCGTACTAGTCGCCGGGGTTGTCTTCTGGTGGCGGTTGGGATGCTCCTGGGAGTTTTGGCCACCAGTGTGGGCTGCGACTGACATCGAGAAAGCTGGTCGTATCGGCTCCTTCGTCGTCTCCTTCGTGCCGGGGAGACGGAGAGACAAGCCATGGATGGTATCGGATCCGCAGCTACCCTGGCTCGACTCGTAGTAGCTTTGCATGCATCTACTTGTAGAGCAGGTTGTGACTGGCATCGAGCCAGCAATTTGCTTCTATTCCTGAGGTGTCTCCTTGGTAATGGTGAAAGGATCAGGGAGGATATGGGTAGATCGGTGACGGGGGCAGTCTGAGGAGTCATTTTTTCCAACGGGGGGCATGATAACTCATCGAGTGAAGCTGTGGCGATGGAGCAGCCAACCGATAGGCTTCTCCTTCTCTGTGAGGAACGTTCTGCGTTAGTGTGGCGGAACCAGGAAATGGTTTGACATTCGTCCTCTTTTACGCAGCTACCAGTGTCGAGACTTTGTTGTCGGATCAAACGGATCCTACTCTGAAGGACATGGACTTCTCGAATCGACTGCTCCATGAGATCACTACCATCCAACACCAACTCATCCTCATCTTCAGATGCTTTACTGAGTTCGGGACCATCATCCTTCCTCCTCTTCAGCTCAACGTCAGGCTCGGATGACACAACATCAAACGATTTCATGGCTACCTTATCGCTGGAGACGATTCGGAGAGGTTCTACCAAGTCTGCGTGATGTCCACAAGGGCTTCTATTCATGGTGTCTTCTTGATCCAGGCTCTTCACGTATCGATCGTGACTACCGGTACAATCGCTTGTGGTGCCCGCATCAGCCGATGTGGCGTCCAAGGAGACGGGAGAAGCACCCAATATCATGGCTCTTCCGCTGATTAGTACTTCTACTTCTATTAATAGTAGTCAGGTTTGAAAGGGTTCGAATAATGAGAGATGTGCTGTTTGCTGGAAGCGCTGCTGGAATGCAATTTATATTGGGCAACAACTATTAATACAGTAGCTAGCTAGCCAGCTTCAAGGTTTGACCGGTAAATTCTTCAATGCTTTCTTTCGCAGGAAGGAAGGGGCTTGGATGAAGTAAGAGATGATGGATAAAGAAGACGCCACCTCTTCTCTGGCCAAAAAGTTCTATAAGCACAAACCACAAAGAGAGTGAGAAAACTTATCAATTTGAAAGTACCGGTGGAACAGAGAACAGTTAGTTCAGTTGTACTTTTGTACCGGTACTTTTGTACTGATCAGCCGGTACGGTGTACATGTACCGGCTCAAATAAATAATAATCAAGGATATCCAATGCAGGGATGCAATACCCAAGTCGCGTCAAGCGTCAAAGAGCACGGTACAGTACAGAAGTACCGAATGCTACCAGAGATTGTTTTTACAATCAAAGAAAAGGTACACTCCAAACTCAATAATAAGAAAGCTCTAACTGAGAGTCAGTACTGGAGCTTTCTTGCCCAACTGCTCTATTTTGCTACTCATTTTATTTCTAAGAAAACAAGCCAATTTATTAAAGTATAGATGACTTTCTTACTAAGCTTCTAGATCAAACAGGTTAGTGTTTTGATACACACAGTGCACCTGCCCCTTTGGGTCCAACTTCCTCAGAACTCTTAATTGGTTTGGATCGAATAATAATGGTGGTCACTGTGTCTGCCGTAAGGCAGAAAATTTTGTAGATTTAGGCACATGCTAGGAGAATTTTTATGGTGTCAGACTAGTACTATTTCTTGTGCTTTGAGGCATCAATACTGGGAGGTTTTCTTACAAGTTTGTGATATTTCAGTATAAAAAGATTCTTATCTTTTTTAAAAATCTGAGTACTCGCTTTCTTATTTGGAGTTTCTTACCTTCAGGTTTGGAGTGTACCTTTAATTGTGATACTTAAAGTTGATGCTTTCAAGACATCCCAAATCCCAATCCAGCACTGCATTGCACTTGGTCTTATAGCATCTTGTGTTCTTAAGTCAGCTGATTTCTGATGTACCAATTGGACTAAAAGGTGATAAACAGCTCACATCCCACGAGCAAACCATCTTGGGGGAACATGGGTTTTCTAAGCCGAATGGTTCCCACTTATATCAGTCACAAGCTCAAATGCGCCTCAAATGCCAAATACTTGAACTCGGCTCAAATGCGGCTCAAATACTAGCTGCTGAAATAGAGGTACATGTATGGGATGTGGCTTGTGTAGCTAAACCGGCTACGGGTATCTAGAGGCTACATGCACATTGACAGAAGACAGAAGTCGAATGGTTTCCCACCGGTTCGTCGCCCTTCACCCAACACAGCTGAAACGCTGAAACCCACTGGAATATTATTTTGTGTTGTGGCCTGTGGCCTAGCTAGCTAGAGGTAGCTGCAGATCTCCAGCATCCAGGAGCCTGCCTCTTTCATGG